TGCCTGACATCAGGTGAGCCAGGATTTGCGGGAGCGGCTATGTGTGCAATGAGTTGGCGGGTCTCAGCGCAGCTCTCTGAAGGGCCCTGGGACCACCCTGACCGCCTTCCTCCCCTCCTGTCCCAGCGTGGCCAAGTGCCTGGGAGCCAAGATGGTGGCGGCGCGGGCGCTGGAATGTGCCCAGGAGTGCCAGGTCATCTCCCAGGTGGTGGAGGACACGGAGGCTGTGCGAGCTGTGGAGCAGTTCCTGGGTGAGCAGGGTCCAGCCAGGCACAGCAGGGGTGACAGGGACACCGCCAGGTCTTGGGACTGGCCTGGGACATGCCGGAGGCAGGGGGCTGATGGGGCTGGGGTGGGTGGGTGGCTCAGGGTGTCCCCCCGCGCTTGTTCCCGCAGATGATGAGAGGATGAAGAGCCAGCTGGGGCTGCAGTGACCCCCCCCCCAGGGGGGGGACATGACGGAGCCCAGCCGGCACCCTCTGCTTGCTGTCCTTCCAAAATAAATGAAATAAAGCCCTGCTACCTGGCGGACACGGTGGTGGACTCCTCCCACAGCCTCTGCCCCAGCACTCCGCATCCATGCAGGGATGGGGAAACTGAGGCACACGGGGCAGGTGAGATGAGGGCTCGTGCTGCAGGCAGGGATGGAGCTGGGGCCCTGCCTGTCCGATGGGAGGACTGGGGTATGCATGTCCAGCTCTGCCCCTTGGGTGTGCTGGGCATCCTCCTCCACATCCCAAACCCTCAGTTCCACCTCCCAAACCCTTGGTCCCCCCTCCCCTGCTCCTCCTCGGGCTGTTTGGACTGCAGCTCCCCGCCTCAATTAGCAAGCGCTCCCTCTCTGACTAATTACTTTGCTACTGTCTTTATGCATTATTATTCTAATGATTATTAATTATTACAATCTTCTCCCGTTCCTGCCGTGCTGTCTGCAGTCAGAACAACACGCACGGACCCTCTTGTTACGGTGATGTACCAGCGGAGCTCCCGGCTGTGTTTAACACCCGTGGGCTCCGAGGTGCACTGACACATGTGTGTGTACCCCATCCCAGAGCCCCCTTTTCCCCCGTCCCACTCTTTTTCCCTTATTCCCCTCTCCTCCAGGCTTTTCTGCTCACCCCTATTCCCACTCTCCAGTGCCATGTTTGTGTCTGGCCCTTTGCTATTGCACCTCCCAGCATTTTTCATGTGTCCTGTCCCCCCCAACGCTTCTCCCTCCTCCTTCCCTCCAACCCTGGGGGCTGTGGGGTCTTGCTCCCACTGGGGCTCCCCAACCCCAACTGCTCCCCACTTCCCCAGCTGAGCCCATGCCCCAGGCATCACCTGAGGAGGTCGGGCAGGGAGTGGAGCCCCAGAGCCCTTCTCAGCCTCCTCCTCCTCCCCTTTGCAGCCGACGGGGCTCAGCCCCAGGACCAGCTCAGCCCCTGCATTCCCCTGGCCAGGTGCCTGCCCCGGGACCTGGCTGCCAACCTTGCAGAGACACCCTCCCTGCCTTCCACCCTTTCCCCTCTCCCCCAGTACATCCCACCGGCCAGGCCAGCCCCCCCAGATGCTTCTTGGAGGCCAAAACCCTATAAATCAAAACTCTGCCGCTCCATCGTGAGCAATATCTTATGTAAAAAGGTGTTTCCAGGGAGCACCGAAGGCTGGAGAATCCTATTACGAGGCACACTATTAATTATAAGGAGTCAGCCCAACCTACTCCAGCAATTTTTTATCCCAGTTCCAAAACCTGATTACTTTCCACCTTCTGCAGACCTTCCCCTTCTGAAAGAAAAAAAAAAAAAAAGGGAAAAAGGTCAGGAAAAAAAATAGCGTTGATGTTTGCCCAACAGTTTTTGAAAAGAAGTTTAGTCACAGGAGTGATGCTTGATGTTCTGCCAGGGCTCAGGGGAACTTGGGGTGGTGTTTCCCCAGCACGGTCCCACGAGGGTTATTGCTGGTGGTGACACGGGCACGACCGTGGGGCTTGAGGTGACTCTCCCAGCACCCCAACAGGGAGCTTTGCCCCCTCCTTGCCTTGACAAGGGAGCACTCAGGCTTTGGGTGCTGGCTGAGAGGGATTGGGCCTTAGATGTCCCCAGCAGGGACATGGGGGTGCAGGTTGTCTGGGGGACACCCCACTGGGGGTGAGCATGTCCCCAGCTGGTGGAGGGGGTCACCCATGGTCACCCTGCAGCTGGAGGCAGACGTGAACCCTGGGTGCTGGTGCTGTCTTGGGACCACTGGAGTGATGGGGACCAGGAACCTCCACCTTGGCTGCGATGGGGGCCCCAATCTCAGTTATGATGCTGTACCCCGGCCCTGGTTGCAATGGGGACCCCAAGCCTGGCTGTGGTTGAGAGCTGGGATAACCGGCGGGCTGAACCCCGCTGCTCCCGCATGGCCACCTCTGTGTCCCATGGCTAGGATCCGGCTGCTGCGCTTTCCCCAGCCATTGGGTCCCTTCTGCCAGTGCCAAGCCGGGATGGGCAAGCCCAGGGTAGCAGCAGCCCCTGGCCGGTGACCTGGGGTAGGTTTGGCTCCTGCACCCAGCTCCAAGGCCCAGCTGGTGAAGCTCCTCTGTGCCGTCGGGTCACTGCTGGGATGGCTGCTCCCGCTGAGCCCCAGCCCCCTGCATGGTGCGCCCCAGCCCCCGCACGGAGCTGGCAGCTTGGAGGGCACCAACATCACCCAAAATCCCTCCCACAGCCCATCCCTCGCTCCGGGGACAGGGTGCTCCAGCAACCTGTAAACAGCCCTCGGGTGTGTGCCTTGGGTTCAGTAATAATAATAATAGTAATAATAGTAATAGCAGCCGGTGTTCACCCAGTGAATGACCTCGTGCTCCATTTTATAATGCTCAAAATGGTGCTGGGAGGGAGTTATTTAACAACAGGTTGCCCTGTCCTTAACAAGACGCACCCGTTACCTGATCACACCAACAGCCTGGAAGGGGTGGAGCAGGAGGGAGTGGCTGGCTGTGCTCCTGCCTCAGTTTCCCCACCTGTTAAAAGGGGAGAAGGTGCTTTGCTTTGTGGGTGGTGAGAGCTTGGTGCCTTTCTGATGGCCCCTGCTCCTGGCTGAGGGATCCCTTGGGGCTCAGCCTGGCTCGTTTGCCACCCTGTTATTAATGCTGGTAATGGCATAGGAAGGATAAATTCTACCACTTGGCTGAACAGCGAAAATATGCAGAGAAGTGGCTGGCTTTTCATAAATCATCGGTGCTCTGTGCTACAACCAAGCCAGGACTTAAAATTCAGGTCAGGAGAGAGGGACTCTTGTAAGCCAGTGAGGGAAGGTAATTTATTCTGTTTATATCTTTTTACTGCAAGACAAGGGGGGGGAGAAACTCTGCCATGATTTTGCATTTTAAATATTAGTTCAGAGCTGCAGCCTGCCTTGGACTTTATTTATTTTTGTCTCTCAGAAAACAGGAGAGGGAAAGCAGGAGGAGGGGGGCTGGGTATGTGTGGGGGGGAAGCGCACCCC